TTAATATGTTGCCAAAAGTAGAGCACATACATTATGTTAGACATATTTATTCTCATTGGCACAAAAATTTTAAAGGGGATGAAATGAAATTGCATTGGCTTTTTAGAAAATAGCTAAAGCATTTAGTTTAGCTGATTTTAATGATGCATTGGTTGAACTTAGAGAAAACAATGAGGCTGCTGTAGAAGCTTTTGAAGGGTATAACCCTAGGTTATTTTGTAGGGCATACTTTGATCCAAAAATTAGGACCGATGCCATTACAAATAATATGGCTGAGACTTTTAATGGGTATATTATTCAAGCTAGGACTAAACATGTCATATACATGTTATATTAGAGTCGAATTGATGCAAAGATTAGTATCCAAAAGACAAGAAATGGAAAAGTGTCAGTCTTTACTATGCCCTAGAATACAACAAAAGCTCGATAAGGAGAAGAAAAAGGCAGCCAACTGTAGTGTTATGCCCTCCGCTGATCATTTATTTAATGTCATTTACTATTTTGGACCAACTTAATGTGGATCTTCCATCAAGGACAAGCACTTGTAGGAAGTGGGACATGACGGGCATTCCATGTTGCCATGCAATTGCATTGTATCTTTTTTAAGGGTTTGGCTGCTGAGTGTTTTGTTAGTCAGGCATATACCAAGGAGGTATACATGATAGCATATGGTGGTTCGATTCCACCATGTGAAGGTGAAAGATATTGTCCTAAGGTTAATTGGAATATTGACCCACCCCCCCATTAAAATTGGCCCTAGATTGCCTAGGAAAAACAACATAAGGGACCCATAAGAGGATCTAAAAAATCCAGGTGTGCTGAATAGGGTAGGATCGGAGATGACATGTAGTGTGTGCGGAGTCAAAAGGCATAACAAGAGAGGATGCCCAAACAAAGCAACGCCAAGCCACTACTACTGCTGAACAAGCTGCTAAACACACTACTGTTGCTTCTACCTCAACTTTAACACAACACCATGCACTCACAGCTCAGCCAAGTCAAATTGGAAAGAGTGGAAGGCTCATATTTACTAGTCAAGGGTAGGGTGGATGTCAGACTCGTGGAAAAGGTAGGGGAAGAGGAAGGGGCAAACAAGTTGCTAATGATGGTGGAAATGCGATTATAGGAGAAGTAAGGGGTAAGAAAAAAGTATTGCATTTTACCTTTAATTTTTACAACTTTGTCTGGTGGTGTATTCTGATAATGTATGATGTATTGTCTGTTGTGTTATGATGCTATGTTGTTTGTGTATTCTAGTTGTGTTTTAGGGGCCTGTTACCACAGGAAGAGGAAGAAGTAGTGTGGTCGATATGTCAAAATTTGGGCCACAATCAAGCCAAGCCTCATCCGATCACGAATCTTAGGAAATGTTTAATGTCCCAACTATGTTTTTATAAACTTAATGACTATAATGTAATGATAACCCCTACAAACTTATTTTGAACTCGTGTAAATTTTTTTTTAATGAAATATTGAACTTTTTGTAGTGTCACTTAAGCTATTGTAAACTTGTCTAATGTGGCTAATTTATGCCATCTATGCCAGGCATGGTTCTTTGTAATACATGATAGGAAAAGTTATGTTTGTTTATGCTATTGTCGTATGTTGGTTCATAAAATGTTGTGTCCTCGTACTTATTAGTCAGAAGTATAATATTGTCGTATATTGGCTCACGTACATTTAGAAGCACACAAACACCCAAAATTCACATCAACATACTACAATTCCTTGCTCCATTTTAATTATGAAACTAAGGGAATTCCTCAATAAATAAAGCAAGTACACAATACTACATTACACATAATTAGTGAATTTGGGCCTGACTTCACCGTCCTGACCACCGTATCATTCTCACACCTACATTTCAGTTGTGAGTAATTAGCCTTTGACGAATTTGCGAGTGAGCCAGACCCATTTGAGGTTGTTCCACGTCCAGCCATGTTCTTTTTTTAAAAAATAAAAATAAAAATAAAAAAATTGACCTTGAAAGTTGAGGTTAATAATGTAGAAGAAGGTAAGGAAATGGAAGAACAAAAGAAAGAAATGGACAGTTAAAAGAATAAATAAGAAAGAATACAAATAGAAGAGGTTCAACTAAAAAAAAAAACAAACAAACAAAAACCTCCAACTCATCAACTGCCCATGCCACATAAGCAAGTTAACCTCCATCATCCGGTTAAAATTTTCATTTACCTAATAATAGAATGGTAGTAGTACAGTTGGGTGTTTTATTGAATAAATCAAAGTTCGACTTATTATTGGAAGACCTCGAAAAGTTTGGATTATTTATGTTAATTTTTCCTAAAATAAATTATATGTGCTCACTTAATTCAAGAATTAAATGGAAGTGTGTGTTGTTTATTGTCGTGTTTATTCTTGATTGATTGGTTGAAGTCATCACAAGTTAAATTGGTAAATCACGTGAAGTGTAAGAGGATACACACCAAAACTCTTGGAACGCATACACCTTAAGTATGAACATATGGGGGGAGTTATGTGACTTTATATTTGATCATAACTTCTACAGGGGTACAGGACGCTATACTTTATTTTATTATTAATGCGCTGGAATTCCGTCACAAGAGTGACATAGTAGGTGCCAACTGGGGTAGCTCCCTAATTGGAAACTCAATATTTTAATGGGCTATTTTAAGAAGGAAATTCGTTCGATGCGTAATCCAAAGCTATTTATTAATAATTAATGTTGTTAGTTATGAGTCAAAGACCACGTAAGTTGACTTGTGAATTGTATGGCGAGCATGTTTTATTTATTATTGCTTGGATAATCATGTTAGTGTGGTGCACATGTACTCAGCTTTTGTTGATTCGTACTTTTGTGTTTGACTTTCCTTTAGATTGGCCCTACTATGACCCATTTATATGGTGAGTAGAGGGTTTAAATAAAGAGAAAGTGACAGGTACTTGAAGCGTAAGAGCATGAAGGGAATGAGTGCAGAGAGTTATCTATTATGCTTTCTTTGTTTTATATTTTGAGTTATTGATTATTATTTATGGACTAACATTGTTATGTTTTATTTTAAGTGGGTTTTGGATGGGTCATGTTTATATTGGTTCCAACTTGTGAATGTTTTAGATTTGACTCATGTTTTGAGGTTGTGAACTCATCAAGTTATTTATTTTGAAAAGTTGATTTTTATTTTAGACTTCTACTGTGTAACTTTGAAAATAGCCTTAGCCGTTATCATAATGGCGGTAATATTTTGGTTATTTCTTAAAATGAGTTTTATTTAGAGTAAAAAGAGTATTTTGAAAGAAGAAAATTACCATGGTATTACAAGTACTCTATGGCTAGAGGTGGCCACCGTGCGGGTCATGCGAGCTGGGTTAGGGTTAGGTGGGTCGCGGGTTAAGGTTTCATGACACACGCACGACCCATGTAGGGGTAGGGTGGGCCGGGTCATGGGTTGGGTTCGTGGGATAGACGGGTTGTGGGTGGGTCAAGCTGGGCTCGTGGGTCAGACGGGTCGAGCTGGATTTGTGGGTTAGGTGGGTTAGAGGGTGCATCGAGCTAGGTTGGAGGGTGGGTCAAGCTAGGTTTAGGGATGTCAATGGGGCGGGTCTAGTAGGAGACCCGCCCCATCCCCGCCCCGATGGAGCGCGGATGGGTCTAACTTTGGCGGGTCGCGGGGCAGGGATGGGTCTAAAATCCATACCCGCCATGGGTGATGGGGCAATGGTGGTTTTTATGTAATACCCGCCCCGCCCAGACCCGCCCCATACCCGCCCCGCCTGACCCACCCCGTACCCGCCCCGCCCCACCATACCCGACCCATACCCGCGTTATACCCACCCCATATCCGACCCATACCTGCGTTATACCCGCCCATAGCATACAACAAAAAAATAATAATAATTACTAAACCTAATGAAGTCTCTAGAACCCAGTAACCCACACTCATTCTCAAAACTAAAACCCTAGCCTACTCTCTCAGTCTCTCCTCTCAGTCTCTTACCTCTCTCCCCTCAAGCTCTAAATCTACCATCTCTGAATCTCGCCGCTCCGATCAAATCTCTCCTTTCAACGCTTCGATCTGCAATTCTTCAATTTGCTGGATTTCATCAGGTAAACGTTTTCGCACTCTCAATCTTTGAATTTTCTGGTATTTTTCCCTTTTTTGTAGATTTGTAACCCATATGTTGCTCATCTGAATTCCGTTTATTTTTCTGTCATTTTTTTGGTTTCGTGGGTTTTTATGGGGTGGGTTTTGATTCTTTGAAGCCTTTCAATGAATTTTCAGACTAGTATGTGAACATAATTTTAATTCCCTTTTTTTCTAAATCTTTGATCATATAGGTCTGCTTTATATTTATAACAAAATGCTTGTTATTAATATTGTCAATTAAGGAATTAGAAAGGATGACATCTATGGTTCGTTTCATCGTTTGTGATATTTGATTGTAACTTGATTTTGGCAAATGTTGTGCAGTAGGATGAAACTCAATAACAAATAATCAAAGGATATCATATCCCTAACTAGATATATGGGGTGTAATCAAATTATAAGTAGGTAGTGTAATTATTTTATTACTTGAAATTTGAGCTTGTTCATGATTTGTCCTTCTTTCTTTCTTACTTAAATAAGACTCTTTTCTTTCAGTTGTAATGCATTGCTAAATAATCCAAAGTTTTATTTTATTTTATTTTTTTATCTCAAATTTCAACTTTCATTTTTTACCTTCTCATAATCTAAATTATATTCCATCTATTAGCTAAATAGTAACTTGTGATTAACCTTATTGTTTGACTAAGAAATTCTATTAAAAAAATCTAACTAAGAAAATATACTCTTAGTGAAATGACAAATTCATTTTAGCTTTACACTTTAAAGTGAAATGACAAATGCATTGATGTGATTTTAATTTCTTCTAGCTACTTGTGTTTTTGGATTAATATCACTTTCATATATTTGGTTTTCTATGTTCACTGATTTGTTCATGTCTAGTGCATTAATTGCCTTCATTTAAATTTATAGGGAAGAATGGCATCAAAGAATGAGAATAATGCTAGTGTTCGCACTTCAGCTAGTAATACTCCAATTGCATTAGATGATGATGAAAGTCCCGTGGAGACTGATTCCGATCCCTATGTCCTACCAATAACTAGTAGGCATACTTCAGCAGTGTGGTCTGACTTTAAGAGAAAGAGAGTTGGTGATGTGGTAAAAGCTGAGTGCAACCATTGCTCCAAGCTATTTGCTGGTGGGTCGAAAGCAGGAACTACTCATTTGAAACATCATTTAAAAATATGTCCAAAGAGAGCATGTCAAGATCTTCGACAAACAAGAATGCTTGATACAAAAAAAAACTTGAATGATAAGAATGACACGATGACATTGGCTCCTTACGAATTCCACCAAGAAGATGGAAGAAGAGACTTGGCGGAGATGATTATTTTGCATGAGTATCCAATTAGCATGGTTGAGCATATGGGTTTTAGAAAATATAGCAAGACACTCCAACCTGGATTTAAAGTGCCGTCTCGCAACACAACTAGAAAAGATATTATGAAAAGATATGAGCTTGAGAAGGAGAATGTTGCAACCTTGTTGAGGAAAGCAAAGGGTAAGATTGCCTTAACTACTGACATGTGGACTGCTGACAACCAGAGAAAAGGTTATATGGCGGTCACCTCACATTTTATTGATAATACATGGAAGTTGCAAAGTCGGATCATAAGGTATCGTTTTCTGGTTACTTATAACTTGTTTAATTTTTTGGTTGCCTTTGTATTGCTATAGTTTTTTGTGTGCGATTTAAAATGATAACATACCTTTATATTGTTGTTCCCTGGAAAAAATCATAATAATTATAAGTTATGATGATGGATGATAATAATGAGCCCATATATCCACAATATTATTGAATAGACCGATAATTAAGTCAATTTAATTGGTTTTGGTAGGTTTTTATATGTCCCCGCCCCTCATACTGCCGAGGTTCTTGCTGATGCTTTGAAAGAAAGGATTCAATCATGGAATCTTGATCTTAGGTTGTCTTCTATAACTGTGGATAATTGTTCAACTAATGATGCAATGATGGAAATTTTGAAAGGAGATTTTTTTCATATGCGTTGTTGTGCTCACATATTAAATTTGATTATTCAAGATGGTTTAAGTGTTGTGGTATCAAATGGTGTTCAAAGAATTAGGGATAGTGTTGTGTTTTGGACTGCTTCTGATAAGAGAGTACAAAGGTTTGAACAAGTGGCTAAGCAAATGGCTCCTGAGTGTAGTAGAAAGTTAGCACTTGATTGCAAAACCCGGTGGAATTCTACTTATGAAATGCTTTCTATTGCTATTAGTTATAAAGAAGTGTTTGTTGTTTTAAGTGCTCGTAATAATTTATATAAGAATCCACCGACCCCTGAAGATTGGGAAAAAGTTGAGAAAATATGTGAACATTTGGAAGTGTTTAGTAAAACTACCCTTAATTTTTCAGGAACAAATTACCCTACGACCAATCTTTATTTTCCCTAAAATTTATGCTTTGAGAATTGCTATTTCATGTTGGCTTTTATCTCCCCATGATTATGTAAGGAAAATGGCTGACATTATGTTACAGAAATATAACAAGTATTGGGCTAGTGTGAATGGTTTAATGGGAATGGCAACAATACTAGATCCTAGATACAAAATGGCTCTTATTCGCTTTTATTTTGCAAATTTTTTTTATGAGCATGACTTTGAAATTGAGGTTGGTAGAATTAGTGATCTTCCACGAAGATTGGTTGATGAATATGGGTCTAAGATTGGTAAAACTCAAGGTAGTAGCAGCCAACAACCTTTTGATTTGGGTAGTAGTAGCAAAGCCAATGAAGAGACCTTTATGCAAGAATTTGCAGAATTTTTGCAACAAGATAAGGACCCAAGTCATGAAATTTCTGAATTAGATAAGTATTTAGATGCTGCTAATGTGCCTCTAGTCCAAGATTTTGATATTCTTAACTGGTGGAAGACAAATGGAGGCACATATCCCATTCTTCAGCAAATAGCACGAGATATATTGAGCATTCCTATTTCTACTGTTGCATCGGAGTCCGCATTTAGCACAAGTGGTCGGGTTCTTAATCCTTATCGTAGTCGGCTTTTACCGGAAGCTGTCGAAGCTTTGATGTGTACTCAAAATTGGATATGGGCTGCTCTTAAAGGTAAATAGCTAAATAACATTTTATTTAATTAATAATATTATTATTTTTTTTTAATTAAGTCACATTGTGTTTGCAGATTGTGGAGAATTTAAGGATGATGAATATGCTAAATTAGTGGGAGAATTAGAGGAAGGATTTGAAACATGGGATATCGATTCCGGAACAAGTGGAGTTTGCACCGAATAATTCAAGGCCTAATGAATTTCTTATTATGTATTTGAATATTTGTAGACTTGTAGTATTTTTAATATTTGAACTTTGGACAATTTGGAGTTACTGTTTTTTTTTTTTTTTCTGTATGTACTACTAATTAATTTTTAGTATTTTAATATGTAGTGTTTTTAATATGCCATATTTTAATATCAAGTTTTCTGGGAGAAGGCCTGGAGAGGGCTCTCCTGGGCTTCTCCTAGCCATCTCTAAAAAACCCCAAGTTGTTGGAGAAGGCTGGGAGAAGGCCTAGAGAGGGCTCTCCAGCGAAGGAAATTGGTGGGTATGGGGCGGGGACGGGGATGGGGCAGGAGTGGTTTTGGAGTTGGACCTGTCGGGGCGGGGATGGGGATAATTTTCGGACCCGTCAAGGGGATGGGGTGGGGATGGGGATGAAAATGTGAGGCGGGGATGGGGATGGGAATGCCAAAACCCGCCCCGTTGACATCCCTAGCTAGGTTCATGGGTTGGAGGGTGGGTCGAGCTGGGTTAGAGGGTAGGTCGAGCTGGGTTCGTGGATTAGGGTCGGGTGGGCCAAATGGTTAAGTGGGTTGTGTGGATCAAATATCCAAGTTTGTTGTTTTAAATAGATTTAAACTTTTATTTTGAAACAATATTTTGCACATATTATATTTATTGTTAAAGTAGTTTTAATTTTTGCGAAATTTACAATTTGATGGCTTGATCTTAGTTAAGATGCCTACGTATCCTTATATCACAAATAAGGAATCAAGACTGACGTGGTTCTTAGATTGTATATCTTTTGGAATTGGGGGGGGGGGGCTTGGACATATCTTTAGAAAACTAAAATTTAATTTTGCAATTAAATTGTAATTTTCAAAAAATAATTTGCCTACGTATCCTGAAGGAATCAAAGCCCACATAGTTCTTAGCGTACCTACTACTTGGTTTAGACTTTTCTAGCCACCCATGTTTGTTGCATCATCATCCTCGGAAGCTGCATCATCAGTTGACGACTCCAATATCATCACAGGATCATCTTCATCTTCTTCGTCTTCCTTTAAGCCTTGAGTTCTTCTTTCAGCTTGATCCTAATCTTTCTTACAAACACAAATTTTGAATGCTTTTTGGAGTTAAGCGAGAGATATTTTTTAATCTAACACTCTTCTACCTACACTAAAAGCAAACTCGGAAGCAATGGATGAGGCGGGAACTACAAGTATATATTTTGCAATTCTCACCAACATAGGAAAACTTTTTGATGTTCTTGCCACCATTTTATAATTTGAAAGCTTTTGTTGGTCTCATGTTGGTATGACAAATAATCATTAATAACAAGTGTTGAAGAAAGATGATGGTGAGAATGATGTAGATGCTTTGTGTTTTTATTTTATTTTTTGGAAATTTTGAATTTTAACACAACAAAAAAACACAAATTTAAGTTTTAACATTAAAAAAAAAAAAAAAAAAAAAACCCCTTCTATTTTAGGAAAAATACAGTTTATTAATCCCAACTTTCACCAATTTACTTTCATTAATCCCAACTTTGGATTATTCCTCAATAATCCCAACTTTAAGGTGGTCTATCTTTCTTCATACCCAACCGGTAACTAAACCTATTGTACCAGGTTGCAGTCCTACGTGGCAAGAGTTGTTACTTTAATTTAATTTTTCTTATTTTCTTTTAAAAATAATTAACTCCTTTATTACTTCCCCACTCTCTCTCTCTCTTATTTTCCCGTTACAACTCTCCCATCCCCTCTGTTTTCTTTCTTTTTCAGCATCCTCTCCTTTTTTCTTCTCTCACAGTTCACCATTAGCAATGGCTGGAGGTAGAAGTGTACCAGTTGGTTCCTCTAGGTCTTCTTCAAACTCGCGAGGAGGTTTGTACACCACGACGAAATGCAACTGTGGTTTAGACGCCGTTGTGCGAACTATGAAAAAGGGGCATAACATTGGATCCAGATTTTATGAATGCCCAAAATGGCAGGTAATGGTTTAAATTTAGTTAATTAAGGTTTACTTAGTCCAAATTGTTTATTTTTTTGGCAAATTTAAATTCCAATTGTAATTAGGGTTTTGATTAAAAGCGGTCTTTTTTGGCACAGGATACCAATTGCAATTTTATGAAGTGGGTTGACTGTACTAATGGCGATGATCTGCGATTACAGATATTTGATGGGGACACTACAATTGCTGAATTGGAGATGCATAACAAATTCCTTGAAGACAAATTGAAGATAATGCAAGGACAACGGGAAAAAATGGAGGTGATGCAACAATTGAAAGAAGAACTATGTGACATGAGGACTGAGCTCATGCAATGTTCAAGGAATGAGACTAATTAATTTGTTTATGGCTCTTTTATTTTCCTGGGTTTTTTTTTGCCATAATGGTGTCGTACTTAAAGTAGGATTTATGGTGTGTAGGTTGTAACCTTTTGAAATGAAATGAAATAAGGTATGGTTTTTTTTTTTCTGAATAACATGTTTGTATTTTTTTTTTTTGCGCATAAACAAATAATCATTCAAAGTCATTACCAAAATAGGTACATTATGTACCAACCCAACATATAAGTTCACAAATCCAAAATAACAGAGCTGCAGCAAATAGTTTCATACACAAAAGGAAATTCTGCCCTAATTCTTAAGTGAAACAATATCCAATTAAACCTAAGGTAATAGTAATTAGTCTGCTGCTACTGCACAAAAGGGGGAGTTTGCTAACTAAACTATCTTTGACATGAAAAGATTTTTACTTAGTTGACTGATGGAGGGTTGATTGCTGACTTGGGATTATGAAATTCAAAGCTTGGTCATGTCTTGGCCTCGGTGTCAGTCCTCCTCTCTTATTGGATTGGCCACGCACCTATTACATGTAAAAGTAGGCTAAGTTAGAATAGCTGAAACAACAGAAATAACAAAACCAATTTGCAATTTTTAAACACATACATTGGGTTGTATACTCCCATCCTAAGCAATGTACACACCCACTCCTTTTGGAATTCTCTGTTTTCCCGTACCACCACTGTACCTACCACCTCTGGCTTGGCCTCTTCCTCTACCTGCAGGGCAGCTTAGCCTCTTCTTCTCCCTGTAGAGTTCTAAGCTTGTCCTCTCCCACCAGAAGAAGCTGCAGATGTAGCAGAACTCAAAGCACCTCCTCTTGATCCTAACCCTCTTCTTATAGCTCTGCCACCTCTCCCAAGCTGTGTAGGCTAGGCAGGGAATGAATAATGGTGTGGAGATGATGAAGATATTGTGAGCTGAGTTTGAGGGTTTTCAGCCACATTGCTATGAGGTGGCTGGCCATCATTTTTGGGCCTCCCCCTGGGCCTTTTTGTAGGTGGTACAGTAGGGGGTGGTAGTTAGGACATCTTCTTTTGTTGTGCCCCTTGTGTTTGCACAAGGAATAGGTCATCTTAACACCAGACTTAGTCAAATAGCCAGGTTGTTTAGGGTTCTCAAAAGGGTCTTTCTTTTTTTTTTTCTTGGCCTCCCTGGACCAATTTTAATTGGTGGTAGGTCTAGGGGACATTGCACCTTTGGCTAAAACCTTTCACCTTCAAGGGGTGGAATTGAACCTGATCCAGTCAATTTATAGAAGCATCATCAGGTAAACTAGTAGTAGAAGTTGGTAAATTAGTCTTAGAGGGGAGAAAAGTTAGTGTATACCTGCATAAGCCTGTAGATATGCTTTCCTTGTGTAACACCTTTCCACGTAATCTTCTGCTTCTTTGTTCAAAAAGAAGATGCAAGCAACTGCATGGCAGCAGGGAATGCCAAGCATTTCCCACTTCCTACAGCTGCAAGTTTTTTCTTGCAAATTAACAACAAGCTGGTCCAGGTCATGAGTGACATTGAACAATTGGTCTGAGGAAGGCTGCACTTCACAGTATGAAGCCTTGTGTTTCTCCTTGTCCAATTTTGCCTAAATTCTTGGGCACAGAATACTTGACCATTTCTCCATCTCTTGCCTTTTTTGAGTAGCCTCTGCATCAAGCATGTTCTGATTTCTTCTAACATGTACAACAGGTGCTTTATTCTTGCATTTATTATATAGCCATTGAAAGTTTCTGCAATATTGCTGGTTATTGCATCAGTCTTCATTGAAGTACCTAAGAAAGCTCTGTAGAATAAGCTAGGATTATAGGCTTTG